GGGCCAGTTAGGGGCAATAAGAGTCACCAGGATTCACTCCACCGTAAACCTGGATAAGTAGGCCTTAAAGGAATTCAGAGGAGGAAAGGTGTAGATCAGGTTAAAAAGGGATCCCACGGCCACCAGAGCATCCACCATGAAGGCTAGAGGATCTGGAGAGAAACCTGTTCAGTTTATTGTTAAACCCAGAGACCAGGAGATCCACATCTGCAGCAAGGCTCTTGAAACGCCATTCTTCAGAGTCCAGACATTTATTTAACTGAGGAAGTCCACCTTTCAGTTTTTTACACCTGGGATGTGCAAAGGGGACAGTGCTAGAACCTGTGATAAAGGTCCTGAAAAAGCTCCGGGTTAAGGGACCAGTCTCCTTGATCCAGAAGCTAACCGCTATGGAAGCTGGCCTGACAATTTTTTTTGCATTGCCTGACTGAATCCTGGTTGAAGGGACACAAACTTTTGTTTCAGAATATTGATCAGGAGCCCAGCTTTCCTCAGGACTAAGTCCCTTGTACAGAGAGGACCCCTTCGTAATCCAATAGACTGGTATCCAGGATAAGGAACTTCTATGATTCAAGCACAGAACATGTGACCCATCACACTAGGACAAACCTGGTCCTGCTTCCCAGGCTGCAAGAATTTTGAGTTGCAATAGTCTACAGTATAATTGGGCATAGGAAACGGTCTTGAAGAAGGAACCAAACTCATGCAGAAACAGGGTTGGATGGCTCCTAGACTGCAGAGTATAAACATGAAATTGGAGAGACTAAAGTTTGTCCAAGGAAAGGAAAACCTTGGACAGGGTCATGCCTAAGATCAGGCACAGATACTTCAAGCAATGAAACGGTGCCAGTGTTTAATTTTGAAGATTTAGGATTCACTTGAATCTCTGTAGGGTATAGCATGGTCCCTGCTGACAAGAGCCAGAGGTCATGCAAATTTCCCTATTAAGGTTGCCCTGACAGCAAAGCAGAGATAGCACAGAAGCTAGCACAAAAGGGTATTTGTCCCCGTGTCACTTTACTAATGAAGTTGTCCAGGGATTCCCTAAAGAGATGTTCCCCATCAAAGAGCACCGATGCTCTGCAAACCAAATTTGAGGTCTAAATCTAGGCATGTACTGACTTCATCATAAGGACTTTAAGCTGAGGAGTGGTGGGTGCAGACAACGACTTCTTGCTCAACGAGTTCAGCTTCTCAGATAAGCAAAAAGATCCCATCCACATCCTTGATAGGCTAAGGAAGACCTAGGGGAGTGAGAGGGGAAAGTGATCCTAGATGTCAGTTTCAGGTCCAATAGATGGGGTACTACAAGACACCCCCCCCCTTCCTTCCCAGCACGGTTAGGACCCATGTCTCTGCGCCTATTATGCAGGGGGCACAAGAATGTCCTATAGGCATATGCTTATAGTGAGCCTGCGAGCTAGCAAAACAAAAACGTGAATATGGCGCTTCACCCCACCCATGCTGAGTCCATCTTGCACTTGGTGGGGCTTGGATACGGCTATCCAAGGCTGTACTGAGGATCAGCCATTCTAGAAAGCTGAAGAAGAACCCCAGTGGCTCACAGCAATTGAAGAAAAACTTACTAGAAAAAAAAAAAAAAAATGGATTATTTCTCTCAGCATGGAGAGATGTTCGTTCTCCAAAGACAATAGCAAAAAAAACGAGGCATGCTGGGAGTTGGAGTTATTCTGGGCTATCCTTTCACCTGTTTTGCCAGTGTCCAATCTCCAAAATCAACAGCATAACCCAATGTTCCCAAATACTCTTCCGATGTCCTGTAAAGGAGAATTAACAAATATTTTATATCCACAGATATGTGCTTGACAATGCATGGTAAAAGGTGCACTTTAATTATATGACTACATTAAAGGAACCCTGTACTAAGAAATGGGAAGTCTGCTATTTTACTACTGTGTGCAAGAAAAGAAATTACCTGGCTTCAATATTTTGATCTGGAACAAGCATGCAGATTAGAAAACGTCAGGATGAATCAAAGCTCCCAATCTCCATACTTGTTTCAGGTATGTGACTTAGAAGCTACTGAAGATACTTGATAATCCATCACAGCCTGAGTAGTCAGGCCCCTTTCACAAGGGCATTCTGACCAGGTCCATCTGTAACTCTAGGTTCACATCTGCGCGGGTGGTGCCGCTGCAGATCCGCACAAAAATCCGTGCACCACCTGCACAGAGAAATGCAAACCCGCGAGCGGGTGTCATTGGTTCTAATGGCACACCACCAGCACTGGAAAACGTAACCGTACTGGGAACCAAGGTAGCCGTGCGGGCTGCATTTTCCAAAGAAGTGCAGGGACTTCGTCACGGTGTCCATTCAAATGGTCTCTCGTACCTGTGCAAAACGTGGCCCGCACGGCCACATATATGTGAACCGGGGGTTTGTTTTTCAAAGAGACCTGATTGGAAGGTCCACGCATTCCTATGGACAAACAGGTGTTAATAAAATTGTGTCTATTTACACTCATCTACCTCCAGGTCCAACTGGGTTCTCAAAAAAACAAATTTATGGAGTGGATTGGAGGTAGTTAGTTTACTCCCTGCCACCCCATAGAGCAGAGTGGGCTCTGTCAGTATCTGCTCAGCAGAAACTGAACACACACAGATGTATCATCCGCCTGCTCTGCTCACCAGGGGGATCAGCTCACAGATCCCCCTGCTGATCGAAAAGGAATCTGCCTTTTGTGAAAAGGGCCTAATGCTTTCAAAACGAGGCATCTAAAAAAAAAAAAAAAAAAAGTCTTCAAACTCCTAAAAGTTTCCTTTAACTACTCAATTTAAATGCAGATATCAGTAACTTACAGTACAAAATTATATATATATATATATATATATATATATATATATATATATATATATATATATATATATCCAAAAAAAAGCAAAAAATTTTCTGCAGCAACGGTGTTTCAGTACATTTTAATTTAACAAATATTTGGTTGAAAAGCATATCAAAACTTTGGAACAGGCAGACCTTAATGCAATAATATGTGATGAAAACAGGTGAATGTTTACCCGCTTTCTGAATATTTTAATGAACAATGACAAATTCTGACAAGACTTTCTGTAGATGTTAGCATACATATGATGCATTCCAAGAGAAAACAAGGGTCTTGCAAGGTATACAACTGACCCCAGACACCCAGATAAAAAGGTAAAGATGGGTAAATACAACAGAAAACCAACCACACACTGAAGAAAGGACATACATAATTTCAATAGACTCACTGAGCTGATAATATCACACTCATAGAAACAGACATGTTGGATTAAAGAGAACCTGGCAAAGAGTTGTCAAAGAAGTAGGAAAATTATCTTTTTGGATCTAGAATTCTGAAAATATGATGTTGGTGTTACACACCTTCCTACTATTGCAACACGAAGCAATGAAACAAGGGAAAAATACCTTATATAATAGGCTGGTATAGGTGCTGCATAAAGAAAGGCATTAAACACCTGGGTGTGAAAATGTCCAAGGTGAAAAGAATGCAAACTATGCTCATTGTTGCAAGCAATATCAGGCTCAAAGGCAACCCACCAGGGTCTCTAAAAATGTCTAAAATAGCGCAGTGCACCAAAAAACCCAATATTTAAGAGAGCACACACATATTATGAATGTGAGCAGAGGGCACCTTTTTGTTTCCTGTGCTTATAGGCCCTATATGTGTGAAGCAGATTATGCACAACATGTCTTATTACAGGGTAAAGGGCATGATTTACACAGAAAAGCATCCAAAAAGAGATTAGTATCCAGCTGTTTAATGTGATCAGACTGATTGTTTGCTGTTAGCCAAATAAACTACTATGTTTCACTGGCCGCAAAGAATCCGCATTGAGTAATGTAGTCATCAGTAGATGGTCACTACGACAGGTTAGCCAAGTTTCACTACAGAAGGCACCAATTTTACACAAAACATTGAAACAGAACTCCAAAACAAAAAAAAGCAAAAAAAAACACAGCGATACATAACACATATATGCATTTTCTTTTTAACTGCTCAAAAGGATCTGCGATTCTGTTTAGTCCATCTTGCAATTCACAAGGCTTTGTTACACTGTACCGCCTGGCAGAAGACATCACTGTTTCCTATTTTACCTTTGTAGCTTTTGGTATCACCTTCCTACTCCTACAGGACAATGAATCAGTTATATAGTGATGCTTAGAATTCATTGCTCAATGAGTAAGCCAGACGATAGATGCACCTGCCTAGGTATGAAATGTGAAATTGTATTAATCAAAAGGGGGGCTGAACAGTTACAAATCCCTTGGCAGTTAAACCTTTCACATGGGTATTTCAACTTTTTGAAAGGAGTTCCTCTTAATCTGCAAAACATTCAGAGAGTTTTTCCATATATGCCTGTCTTCTAGCAAAGGTGAGCCATTTCAATTCATGTTTTCTTCAGCACCATTATGAATGAAGCAGTAAACTACCAGTAAAGATTTAAAATCAAGCAATGATCATGGGTGTGTTCCCAACTAGGTGACTCTTGCAGTCTAATGACAGCCAGATTTAAAAGTCAAGTCATTGTCTTAAATAGAAATGCATAGCTAGTTATATATAGTGATGAAAAAATAGCAGCACCCCAAAAAAGCCATTCTGTAGGATACAGCCATTTTCAGTAGAAAGAATCTGGTATGGAGGCATCATGTGTTTCCTGTCTAAATGAGATAAAAAAAAAAAGAGAGAAGGCAGTGTGGAGAAATTTGACACATCAAGGGGAAAATGGTAAAACCTAAATTAAATTAAATGGCATGTGCCGATATTTAAAAAAGGAAAGAAGAAAAGCCATCTTAAGTTTGGTTTCCTTCTTGTTTCAAAACATTAAGTTCTTTAAATACATTTACGGTTTCAATCGGTACTGTGTTTTTGCTCTGCATTAACAGGCAGATAGACACTTATGCGATAAAATCCCACATCTCCTTCAGGTACCTTTCATGTAAAAATGCCATTTATATCAACTAGCAAAGACAACAGGTGTATGCTAAGACATAAAATGAGGACGTCCATTGTCTTCCAGTCTCCTTGTAAGTATCTCACAACCGGTCTCTGTGACTAAAAGGGTGTGCTCGAACTGTGCTGACCGTTTTCCATCTCTTGTCACTGCAGTCCAACCATCAGGCCAGGTCTCATCTTGCCATCCGCCTATTAAGTACATGAAAACAGGCATTTAGGAAAGGGTGCATGAAATAGTTTCCTGGTATAATTGCTGGATATAATTTTCTTACCCAACCTAAGCTGATAGTCCTGCAAATAACACTATATCCCTCTATGGCTACACTGATCTACTGTACCTATTGAAGAAAACGTGATTGTCACACAGACTGGAGTTCAAACATTTCTTCCTCTCTTTGTCTGCATTACATTGTGGATTGATGTGATTAGTAGCTTACAAAAAATAAAATAAATAAGGTGCTTTTTTCAGCTCACAGGATTGTGGTGGAATCATGCCAAAGTAGTACAGGAACCTCACACAAAATCACGCTGTGTTGAGTTGCATTGATGTGAACGGGCACCTTTGAAAACAATGTTAATTCCATTGCAATCAAGTCACATATGAAATTGCACTACTGTGTCAGCACTGGAGTCACGTTAACCAAGTGAGGCTCTGTTCAGAGATGGGAAAACAGGGAGGCTTTGCAGGAGTGAACCATTGTCATCAGTCGTAAGGACGTTGATCCACACCCTGGAATATTCACAATTTTAGGGCAATTTGGGGCATTTTGCCAAGGCACCCCTAAAGAACCCATAATGCACCCCAGAGCATTGCAGCCCCCTGGTTGAAATGCTGTATAGGTTTCCTCATGAGGGCTTCCCTGAAGAGTAGGCAATAAGGCAGAAGGAATTGATCTACATACACTAACCACCAACGACAAAGGGGCACTTCTATACTGACCACTAATGTTAGGGGGAGCCACAACTTTGTGTATCCTTTCAAATATTAGTATTAATTTAATCTCAATATTAATACAAAACATGCTGCTGCACAAAACAGGTGGGCAAAAAAGAAAAAAAAAAAAAAAAATTTGTCAGGTATGCCATATTTTTCAAAGATTCCCTTGGAGTAAAAAGGTTGAGAGAGGGGCGATGAAAAACTGCAAAAAAAAAAACAAAACAAAACCAAAACAATGCTAGCAGGTACAGTGAGTAAAATAACTATTGAACATGTCAACATTTGTTTCAGTAAACATTTCTAAAGTATGCTTTTGACATGAGATTTTCACATCAGTAACAAACCATGCAAATCATACATACAAAGAAACCAAAACAAATAAGTACAGAAATTAAGTTGTGTAATGTACTCAAAGAACCCCCAGTGGGACTTTAATGCAGCAATAAGATCATACATATATTGAAAGACATTTTGTTAAGAGATTTTTGTCAACTTTAATACATACACATTTCCATTGAAATATTACATACATGGTTTCTAAAAGAGAATTTTTACATTTGTCTCTTGGGTTCTGATTCACAGACTACATATCACTCTGATGATTTGGTAAGCATTACATTTGCTTTTATGTGTCTGCTACAAAGCAAGTAGTCATTGGCTGCTTTGGCCGCCACTCCAGACTTGGGACATAGGTGCACTAATTCAATCCCCAATTACCAAACCACCTACACACAGCCCTATTTAATGAGCATTCATTTTACATTTATTTCTTGGTCTTCTGACTCACAGGCTGTCTATGCTTCACTCTGATGATTTGGTGAGCATTACATTTGCTTTTATATGTCTGCTATAAAGCAAGTAGTTCAGACCATAAATGATTACTTTAATGCATATATGGCTTGTTCTGATTTCATTCTTAGTTTACTACTTTGATATACTGGTTAAATTGCTCCATGGTAGCATGGTTTGACTTGCCTTATCTATAGCCAATTACTTGGATGTAATTTATACTAATAGTGGCTCACTATCTCTTTTGACTATTAGGGATTTGTTCCCTACAGCATCTTTTTTTGTGTCTCCTTGCAGGCTTAGTGAGCAACAATTTTTGTTGCGTGTTTCTTGCAGATTATACTAGATCTCATAATCAGGTGGCTTTTCTCTTTTTTCTTTGACCAGCACTGATGATAATTCTCGTTGCAGTACCATAAAATTATTTATTTATACCCCATCAATTTGTGATTGGGATATATTTATTTTTCCATCATATGATATTGTTAATGTATAGTTCTTTTTTATACTACCATTGGTTATCGCTAATTGTCTGCATAATATTTGGATCTTTTAGTTTTACGTGCCAATTTTGTCTTTGTTCTATGGGATCTGACATATTAATTTCTCCAAGGAATGGAAGTATCTTAAATTTACCACTATATTTCCTTGAGTTGCTACGTCCATTACCTAGCAAAATTCTATTTGTTCCATACATTGGCCTGTTCAAGACACGGTCAGTTTCATTTCATGATACATCCTTTATGGACCATTCTTGAATGCACATTTTATTAGGTATATCCCTTTGGTCTGACTATTTGGGATTTAATATATTCTATTCTTTATACCACCTTTAGTTCCATTGGGGGGAAGGTTTTGGTGCCCCTTTGTAAGTCCTTGCTGTCTGGTGAGTTACATTTGACTACTCTTGCCCTCTTGGATCATGAAAAACCGCCAGAACATGGTGTCTAGTCTCCCATCTTGGATGTCATCCCCTCTTTTGCTCTAATATATGTTTTTGTAAGTAAAAAAAGGTTTTTGGTTATGTGATCAGTTGATTTATTTTTTGGTATACTCATTTATGATTGTTTATACATTAAACTAGAAAGCCCTTTGTCTGTCTCTCATGCCCCCTGAGAAAAATCTAGAATGTGGAATGATCGAAATGCGTTGGAGTATTCTCTTTTCTGTGTGGTTTCATAGTTTTTGTATTAAGAGTTCTCTTGTAGGAACACTGTCAGAGCAATATTCTTTTTAGAAACCATGTATGTAATATTACAATGGAAATGTGTATGTAATAAAGTTGACAAAAAAATCTCTTAAAATGTCTTTCAATATATGTATGATCTTATTGCTGCATTAAAGTCCCACTGGGGGTTCTTTGGGTACATGCATTCATATAGGGACGAGCAGCCAGATACTCAACCTTTTTTGTTATGTGTAATAAAATGGAATGCTCACCACGCAAGACTCCACTGCTGAAGAAAAAGCATGTGGAAGCTAGTTTAATGTCTGCTGCACAACATTTAGACAAGCCTGTGAAATACTGGGAGAATATAGTCTGGTCAGATGAGACCAAAATTGAACTCTTTGGATGCCATAATACACACCATGTTTGGAGGTCAAATGGCACTTCATATCACCCCAAAAACACCATACCAACAGTGAAGTGTTGGAGGTGGGGACATGGTGTGGGGCTGTTTTGCAAAATACAGTACTGGTAAACTTCATATCACTGCAGGAAGGATGAATGGAAAAATGTACCAAGACATTCTTGATAAAAATCTATTGCCATCTACCCGGATAATGAAGATGAAATGAGGGTGGACATTTCAGCAAGATGATCAACAATGATCAAAGCCAAGGAAACTCTTATTTTGGTTTCAAAGAAAGAAAGTAAAGCTGCTAGACTGGCCCAGCCAATCACCTGACTTGAATCCAGTAGATAATCTATGGAAAGAACTTAAGATCAGAGTTCATAGAAGAGGCCCACAGAACCTTCTAGATTTGAAGACTGTTTGTGTGGAAGAATGGGCCAAAAATCACACCTGAGCAATACATGCGACTAGTTTCTCTATAAAGGAGGTGTCTTGAAGTGGTCATTACCAACATAGGATTTTGTAGGAAGTATAAAATAAATTTCAGTTAGCGCATTCAATACTATTTCCCTGTGTCAGTCCATTATACTACACAATTTCTGAACATATTTGTTTTGGTTTCTTTGTATGTATGGATTGCATGGGTAGTTACCAACATGTGGTGAAAAATGTTCATAGCACCTTTTGAAATATATTTACTGAAAAAAATGGTAACATGTTCAACACTTATTTTACCAGCTGTACATGGTGGTAGTCCATTTAAGAGCTTATAGCAGTGGTGGCGAACCCGTGGCACGCGTGCCACAGCCGGCACGCCGAGCCTTATCTGTGGGCACGCCAGGAGAATCCAGCGGCGCGCTGTCTTCCCGGCTGTAGTGTGCGTGACAGCCGGGTCCCAAGTGCGCATGCACAAGAAGCAGTGCTCCTTGTGAATGGTAAGGCGGTACCTGGGACACATGACAGATCCCAGAAGCCGCCGGACCAATCACAAAGCGCAGCGCTTCTCGCGCATGCGCACTGGGCATCCGGCTGTCCGACGAGCGCCCACACTACAGAAGCCGGGAAGACAGCGAGCGGCTGGATCGAGGAACAGGTAAGATAAAAAAAAAAAAACTCTGCGGAAGTAAGAGCGGGTACCTGTCAAATTCAGGTACCCGCTCCCCCTCCCTCCCCAAAGGTCAGCAGTCATCCCCGTGCTGTGTCCCCAGTCTCTGGTCATCCCCGTGCTGTGTCCCCAGTCTCTGGTCATCCCCGTGCTGTGTCCCCAGTCTCTGGTCATCCCCGTGCTGTGTCCCCAGTCTCTGGTCATCCCCGTGCTGTGTCCCCAGTCTCTGGTCATCCCCGTGCTGTGTCCCCAGTCTCTGGTCATCCCCGTGCTGTGTCCCCAGTCTCTGGTCATCCCCGTGCTGTGTCCCCAGTCTCTGGTCATCCCCGTGCTGTGTCCCCAGTCTCTGGTCATCCCCGTGCTGTGCTGTGTCCCCAGTCTCTGGTCATCCCCGTGCTGTGTCCCCAGTCTCTGGTCATCCCCGTGCTGTGTCCCCAGTCTCTGGTCATCCCCGTGCTGTGTCCCCAGTCTCTGGTCATCCCCGTGCTGTGTCCCCAGTCTCTGGTCATCCCCGTGCTGTGTCCCCAGTCTCTGGTCATCCCCGTGCTGTGTCCCCAGTCTCTGGTCATCTCCTGTGCTGTGTCCCCAGTCTCTGGTCATCTCCTGTGCTGTGTCCCCAGTCTCTGGTCATCTCCTGTGTCCCCTGTGTGCCCCAGTCTCTGGTCATCCCTGTACTGTGTCCGCAGTCTCTGGTCATCCCTGTACTGTGTCCGCAGTCTCTGGTCATCCCTGTACTGTGTCCGCAGTCTCTGGTCATCCCTGTACTGTGTCCGCAGTCTCTGGTCATCCCTGTACTGTGTCCGCAGTCTCTGGTCATCCCTGTACTGTGTCCGCAGTCTCTGGTCATCCCTGTACTGTCCACAGTTCTGGTCATCCCTGTACTGTGTCCGCAGTCTCTGGTCATCCCTGTACTGTGTCCGCAGTCTCTGGTCATCCCTGTACTGTGTCCGCAGTCTCTGGTCATCCCTGTACTGTTAATTAGTTTGCACTACTGTACGAGTTGTTTTTTCTAAACCAAAAGCTCGATATTCAGGTTTCATTGCAGTGTTGGCACTTTGAAAGAAATAAGTTGGTTTTGGGTTGCAGTTTGGGCACTCGGGCTCAAAAAGGTTCGCCATCACTGGCTTATAGTCTACAAACCTTGTTACTATGCACAATTGGCTATGCTTCCTGTGCAGTACTGCTGCACACAGAAGTATTGCTTTACTGTTCCCCCTTCCTCCCTCTCACTGCAAGTCTGCCAGTGTGCTAAAAATTACCACAAAAGCAATAAACTACATAAAGGTCAGTGTATTATCTAAGCATTTGTTGAACAGGGAAGAAATTTGGGGAGTAAAAAAAATTGCCATTTTAATGATGATGATGTGCCATTATTCCTTCTACTGACACCAATGATGGGGCACTATTGCTCCCACTGACACCAATGATGAGGCACTATTGCTCTCACTGACACCAACAATGGGGCATTATTCCAATCAACATTACCCATTATGGGGTACATTTCCTTCTCTTCCTGACTACAGGTGCTATGTAATTTTACTCCCACTCATCCCAGACCCTATATATTTATAAACTATATAGGGTCTGGGATTAAAAATACAGTTTCAGTCTTTGCAAATGACACCAAGCAGTGCAGTGGAATAACGTCCTTACAGGATTTCTCCAACTTACATGCCGACCTCAATGCACTGTTTAATTGGGCAACTATGTGGGAAATGAGGTTTAATGTTGATAAATGTAAGGTTCTGCACTTGGGAGCTAAGAATATGCATGCATCATACATACTAGGGGGGAGTACAACTGGGGGAATCAATGGTGGAGAAGAATCTGGGAGTTCTGGTAGATCACAAGCTTAATAATGGCATGCAATGCCAAGCTGCGGTTTCTAAAGCAAGCAAAATCCTCTCTTGTATTAAAAGAGGTATAGACTCCAGAGAGCGATATCATATTACCCCTGTACAAATAATTAGTAACACCTCATCTGGGCTATGCAGTTCAGTTTTGGGCACCAATTCACAAAATGAATATTGGGGAACTGGAGAAAGTGCAGAGAAGAGCAACGAAACTGAAAAGAGGCATGGAGGAGCTCAGCTATGAGGAAAGATTAGAGGAACTAAATTTGTTCTCTCTTGAGAAGAGGAGATTAAGGGGGGATATGATCAACATGTATAACTACATCAGTGGTTCCTATAGTGAACTCGGTGTAGAGTTATTCACCCTGAGGTCATCACAGAAGACAAGGGGGCACTCTTTATGTCTGGAGGAAAAGTGTTTAATAGCCAAATATGGAAAGGTTTCTTCACAGTAAGAGCTGTGAAAATGTGGAATAGATTCCATTGAGATTTGGTCCTGGCCAGCTGAGCAGATTGCTTTAAAAAAAAGGAATGGATTCTTTCCTAGATACAAATATAACTGGATACTGACATTTATAGGTAAAGTTGATCCAGGGAAATATCCGATTACCTTTCGGGGGATCAGAAAGGACTTTTTTTCTCCTGCAGGAGCAAAATTGGACCGTGGTTTGCTGGGGGGTTTTTTTTTTTGCCTTCCTCTGGATATAGGATTATAACTTTTTTTTGTTAGTGTTGAACTAGATGGACTTTTGTCTTTTTGCAGCCAGACTAACAATAACTATGTAAAAGCCACATGACCTCTTGAGATCTTTCCAAATCTGATTGAAATAATAATGCAAAACTGCACTGGCGAAACCTCCACACCTTTGGTGCACTTAATAGGGAACAATTCATTTAAAGAAACGACTCTTGTTCCTGTCCCTCTACATAACCCAACAGTCACAAAGTGCTGGAAAAACAGCTGCACTATTTTCTTTAGCTGTATATGGGCCCAATTCTGTTAAATAAGGTCAGTACAGTTTAAGTTTGAGGCATTCTGCACACCAAGCATATATCAGAAGTGAAATGTTAGACAGTTTTGACAGGATTTCTGGCTTACCTTCACAGATCATTGGTTCAATTGTAAATACATGACCTGGCTTCATCACACCAACTGCTTTGTTTTCTACATAACAAAAAAATAAATTTATTTCCAAACACGAAGCCACAAGACAGAATAACTGATTAAAAAAAAAAAGGGGGGGGGGGGGGGGAAGTCGCCTTCTGAGCATATACATTGAATACATGTTCTCTGTTAAATATTACATTTTATAACCCAAAAATGTGCACTCCCTGAAAACGCACTATAGCCTCTTAAAAAAAGGTAGCCACCAACCATATAAAAACTGTAGTATTTGGCAATTATGAATAGGATATGTATGTCTGCCTTCTGTACACATTTGCTGCTCAACGACTCCCAAGCAATTACCCTTCACAAACCAGCTGAGCTTTGAAGAGAACAGCAGTCAAGGGATTTCCAATAAAAAGTAAAAGAAATTTTAAATAAATACCAAGCAAAACTGAAGAATATTGAAGTTTCATGTCTAGTAGGTAGTTACCATTGTGGCTTTAAGTGTTTACTACATATTTCTACAATTGTTTTGCTCTTTTCACCAGTACAAACAGTTAATACAATACTTTACACAGGGAAAAGTTAAAGTGCACCTCTAGCTGAACTCCAACCTCCCCCAATTTTGGACATAGAGATAATAGATTAAAACTGCTGTCATTAGCAGTTCACTGTTGTGTCCCCTTTAGGTAGATTAATCTATTTGTCCCATGACCACTGTGAGCAGGACAGAAAAATACTGGGAAATCCAGATTTTACAGCTGTCACTTGAACAGGAGGTGAAATTTACCAATGGGGACACCTGTCTAAAAGATTATTTTGCCTCAGTTCAGAGAGAATTAGTCTCTTCCTGTTTTGGCTCTGGGATAAAAAGTTAAAATACTCCAAGTGTACAAAAATAAAAAGGCATTCTAAATATTGCTTTTCTTATCTCTGCAAAACTAGGGAAAAAAAAAAAAAAAAAAGAAGGTTTTTTTAGCAAGATATACAGTACTGTGCAAATGTCTTAGGCAGGTGTAAAAAAATGCTGTGAATTAGGAATGCGTTCAGAAATAGTAGTGTTAACAGTGTATTTTTAATCAATTAACAAAATGGAAAGCAAATGGACAGAAGAGAAATCCAAATCAAATCAAAATTTGGTGTGACCACCCTTTACCTAAAAGAATTGATGTTGTTTTGAAGGCACACTTGCACAGTTTTTGAAGGAACTGTTCTGGTAAGTTGTTCAAAACATCTTGGAGAACTAACCATGGATCTTCTGTGGATGTAGGCCGCCTTATATCCTTCTGTCTCTACATGTGTAATCCCAGACAAGACTCCCCATGATGTTGAAATCATGGCTATGTGAGGGCCAAACCAGCACTTCAGGGCTCCTTGTTCTTTACACTGAAGATACTATTTTGCCAATGTATTGGGATGCCTGCCTTTACACGCACATGAACTTTAATGGCATCTCAGTCTTAGTCCATAGAATTCAATATTGAGTTGGCCCACCCTTTACAGCTATAACTGCTTCAACTCTTCTGGGATGGCTATCCACAATATTTAGGAGTGTGTCTATGGGAATGTTTGACCATTCTTCCAGAAGCACATTTGTGAGGTCAGGAACTGATGTTAGACGAGAAGGCCTGGCTCGCAGTCTCCACTCTAATTCATCTCAAAGGTGTTCTGTCGGGTTGAGGTCAGGACTCTGCAGGCCACCCCCAACTCGCTCATCCATGTCTTTATGGATCTTGGTTTACGCACTGGTGCGCAGTCATATTGGAACAGGAAGGGGCCATCACCAAACGATTCGCAAAAATTTGAGAGCATGAAATTGCCCAAAATGTCTTGGTATGCTGACACCTTAAGAGTTCCCTTCACTGAAACCAAGGGGCAAGCCCAACCCCTGAAAAACAACCCCACACCATATTTCCCTTTCCACCAAACTTTATACTTGGCACAGTGCAGTTAGGCACGTACCATTCTCGTGGTAACCACCAAACCCAGACATGTCCATCAGATTGCCAGACAGAAAAAGCATGATTCGTCACTCCGGAGAACAAGACTCCACTGCTCTAGAATGCAGTGGTGGCTTGCTTTACTCCACCGCATCCGACGCTATGCATTGCACTTGGTGATGTAAGGCTTGGATGCAGCTGCTCGGCCATGGAAACCCATTCCATGAAGCACTCTCTGCAATGTTGTTGCGCCAATCTGAAAACCACATGAAGTTTGGAGGTCTCAGTTGAGCTTGCTGTTCTTAGTTGCTTACAATACCACTAACAGTTGACCGTGGAATATTTAGTAGCAAGGAAATTTCACAGATGGACTTATTGCACAGGTGGAAACCTATCACGGTACCACGCTAAATTCACTGAACTCCTGAGAGCGACCCATTCTTTCACAAATGTTTGCAGAAGCCGTCTGCATGCCTAGGTGCTTGATTTTATACACCTGTGGCCATGGAGGTGATTACAACACCTGAATCCAATGAGTAGGTGTCCTAATGCTTTTGGCAATAAAGTGTAGTTGCTAATGACATTGCCTGCATGTTTGGGGTCATTATGTTGCTGCAGAATAAAATTTGGGGCAAATCACACTTGTCCCTGATGGTATGGGCATGAGGAGGATAGGGATCTACCTGTATCTCTCAGCACTGAGGACTCCATTGATCCTGACCAAATCTCCAAGGTTCCTTGCAAGTTTTGGGTTGCATTTCTGCAAATGGAGATGGAGATTTGGTCAGGATCAATGGTATCCTCACTGCTGAGAGATACAGGAAGATACTTATCCATCATGCCATACCATCAGGCGAGGCGCATGACTGGCCCCAAATTTATTCTGCAGCAGGACCCAAGCATACAGCCAATGTCATTAAAAACTATCTTAAGTGTAAAGAACAACAGAGTCCTGAAAAAGATGGTTCGGCTCCTACAGAGCCCCGATCGTAACATCAAGGCTGTCTGGGATTACATAAAGAGACAGAAGGATTTGAGGCAGTCTACATCCACAGAAGATCTGTGGTTAGTTCTCTAAGATGTCTGGAACAACCTACCTGCTGAGTCCCTTCAAAAACTGTGTGCAAGTGTACCTAGAAGAATTAATGCAGTTTTGAAAGCAAAGCGCAGTCACACCAAATATTGATTTGATTTGGATTTCGCTTCTGCTCATTTACTTTCCATTTTGTTAAATCGAAGGGAAAAAAAAAAAAAACTATTAGCACTTCTATTTCTGAAAGCATTCTTGATTTACAGCATTTTTTTTTTCACATCTCCTTAAAACGTTTGCGCAATAATACACACACACTTTCAAAAGGTAGGCTGCTATTTGAAATCTAAATACAAACAGAATGCAATGATTTGCAAATCTTGTAAACCCATATTTTATTCACAACAAAAAACAGAAAACATCAAATGTTTCAACTGAGAAAATGTACCATTTCAAGAAACAAGGTAATTTTGAAATTGACGGCAAGGCATCTCAAAAATATTGGGAAAATCGCATATTTTTTTATTTTTTTAATAGTGCCTGTGTTGCATGTAATGCTCCTTATGTGTTATGCAGTAATTTACACCTATTGGTCACTGAATAGCAGGTCCAAATTTCCTGACATATCCTCTCCACAGTAATTGTTAAATTCTGAGTGCAATTTTTTTTTTTTATTATTGTAAGCCTTTTGCACTATTTTTTCGATAAATACAATAGCTTGGAAAAAAAAATGTTTGGACAAGGCAACAAAAAGCTGGCAAAGTATGTGGTACTAACAAGGAAGAGCTGGAAGAACATTTTGAAATTAATTAGGTTAATTGGCAACATGACTGAGTATAAAAAGAGCAGATTAGAGAGTCAAGAGTGTCTCTGAATAAAAAGATCTGTGAAAAGCTGTCTCTAAAAACTAATTTCAAATTAATGTTAGTCAACGTAAAACTGCTAAGGCTTTAAATAAATCTTCATCTACAGTAAATCAAAAGATTCTGAGAATCTAGAGAAATCTTTGTGCAAAAGGGACAAGGCCATAATGCAGTATTGGATGCCTGTGATCTTCTGGCCCTCAGATGGCATTGCATTAAAAACAGGCATGGTTCTGTGAGGATATTATTACATGGGCTCAGGAATACTTATATATAAAAAAAAAAATTAAATGACTGAACAGTTTGGTGTGCCATCCAAAAATACAAGGTAAAGCTACCATGCAAAGAAGCCATATCTGGACATGACCCAGGAAGGCCACTGTCCTTTCTGGGCCAAAACTCATGTAAAATGGTCTGCTGTAAAGTGAAAACCGGTTTTGTCTGTGGTCAGACGAACTGAAATGTGACATTTTTTGGTAACCACGGGTGGAGAGTCCTCCAGACTAAAGAGGATATTCTGGTTTGTTGTCAGGACTCGCTTTAAAAGCCTGCATCTCTGATGGTATAGGGGTGCATTAGTGTGTATGGAATGGGTAGCTTGCACATCTAGAAAGGCATCATCAATGCTCAAAGCTACATCAACGTTTTAGAGCAGCATATGCTCACATTCAGATGACCTCTTTGTCAGGGAAGGCCTTGCATATTTCAGTAGAACAATGCTGAACTGCATACGGCATCTATGACAACAGCATAGCTTCATAGTAGAACAGTCCCTGTGCTTAACTGGCCTGCCTGCAGTCCAAACCTTTCACCAACTGAAATTATTAGGCACATCTTGCAATGAAAAATAAAAAACAGACCCAGGACAGTTGAGCAGTTACTCATACCAGGCAAGAATGGGACACCATTCTCTCCCAAAACTCCAGCAACTGGTCGTCTTGGTTCCCAGATGTTAACAGAGCGTTGTTAAAAGGTGGCGATGCTAAACCCTGTCCCAACTTTGAGACTTGTTGCTTTCACCAATTTCAAAATTACATTATTTTTTTCCATAAAATGGTACATTTTCTCAGTTTAAACATTTGATGCACGTTTTGTTTTTTTTAGTTTTCTATTGTGAATACAATATGGGTTTATGAGTTTTTCAAATGTTTGCATTCTGTTTTCAAGTAGATTTTGCACAGCGTCCCAACTCTTCTACAATTGGGGTTGTCAAAGAACATTATAAAACACTTTTATATCACTTTCACATAATTTCTGTTCTCAGCTGCAAAAGGGGCTTAGAGAGATGGAGGTGAAGAAGCAGTAGTACACTGATCTTTCTAGTGA